TCTGTGTGGAGTTTGCATGTTCTCCCTGCTTTCATGTAGGTTTCCTCTGATTTCCCCCACAGTCTAAAGACATGTGGTACAGGTGAATTGGGTAGGCTAAATTGTCCATAGTGTATGAGTGTGTGTGAACGTGTGTGTGGATGTTTCCCAGAGATGGGTTGTGGCTGGAAGGGCATCTTCTGCGTAAAAATTTGCTGGATAAGTTGGCGGTTCATTCCGCTGTGGTGACCCCGGATTAATAAAGGGATTAAGCCGACAAGAAAATGAATGAATGAATGAATGAATGTTGAGTTATAATTAAATAACCTAACAAAGGTTAAAAACAACCCAACAAAGGACCAAATATTTTGGGTTAATTAAAAAACTCAATGTTTTTTAAGAGTGTTTACAAAATAATTAATTTGAAAACAGACTTTAATATATTTATTTTTGTAGCTTAGTTGTTTATAATGATTAGATTGAAGAATGCTTTCAAACTTTAAAAATACTAAATGAAGGGTAAGGCGATGATTTCTCAGGTCACTAAAGGACAGAGGTGCTGTGTGTAAGGACTACCACAGGAAAAACAAACAAGATGGAGAAGTATTTAAAGCTGTGGGAAACAAAAATTCCAACACTGATGGTGGCTGTTTGTGCCTGAGAAGTTCACTTTATCAGTGCTCTTTCTCACAGCTGTGCCCTCACTGACTGACCTTCAAAGGACTTACCGAGACATGTTTGTCAAACTAGAATACACTACACAACCTTTGGCTGGATTTTTGCAATGATTTGTCTGGATGAGTCAATATTAGTTCCCTAAAGTCAGAGTCTGAAAGTTTTTTCCAGGGTGTCAAAGCCAACAGATTCCAAAGTAATTTCACAGTGAATGATGCATGATTGGAGCAATTTCCTGATTCCATCCAGTTTAAGCATATTAACATGTTGGATTTGATTTTACACCTTTTTGTTTTCATTTTCCATATAGAAACCAATAGCCCATTTCACACATACAGATCTTTCCGAAAAATTACCGGCAATTGTGCGAACAGGCCCTTTTTGAAGATACCGCTAAATACATTCCGGCATTTTTCGGGAAAGAGAAGTTGTAGCATTACCATTAATTTGCCTAAATGCTGCACTGTGTGAACTCAGAAGGAAGATTGCTGGAAAGAAAGCGTTCATATCTACAACGCACTGACGTAAAACGTCTACTTTAGCCAATCAGAACACTCAGACACATTCACGTCCATGCGGTTAATGATAATAAAAGCCTTTGAATATTTTGCCAAACACAATTAGCTGCTAGATGCTAGTCAGATAACGTTTCTATGTTCCTTCTTAATGCCAACTGTGTAAAAAATTATTGATAAAATGCTTATGATGACAAACCAACACAATCTCACAGCAATTCGTAATTTATATTCAATTGATTTATATCACTCAATCCCTCCTTTTCTACACCGTAAAGCATCTTGTAAAACTTTTTAAATGATTTGTAAACTAAAAACTGTATAAACTATTTTGTTTTTAAAACTAAATCATTTCCTAATTTGACTGCTGGACTTCTCCATAATTGAGGGTGGGGGGATACATTTGCGCAGATGTAATAAACATTAAACTTTTATTTTTTAGACACTCATCACACAAAATATAATATAAAACAATGTTATATGTACTTTATAGGTATAATTTATGCTTCCATGTATTTATTGGGGGCCCTCAGATTTTCTGGGGCCCTAAGTGGCCACTTATCTTGCTTATTGGTAGGGCCAGACGGAATCAAGTTTTTTGCTATTTCTGCTGAGAATTTTGGTAGAAATCTGTGGAATTATTTTTGGAGTATATCAGAACTGAAAACTTAAAATGTAAAATAAAAAATAAAATCTTTTTAACTTTTATTTAATGTTTAAAATGCAAATCCAACTAGATTCACTTTATTCGGTTACACAAAGCAAGTCTCTCAAATAATATATCTACTAAAAGAAAAATAATAATGTACAAACTCCACAGTACATAAATCAGATGAGCATTTTCACATTAGTCAATAATATTACTTTAATTTAAAAACTGAATAAATATAAATTTACACAAATTTACTCAAGTAAATAAACAGAATTAATGATGGACAAAAAAATCTGCGGAAATCTGCGGAAAATCTGTGGAGTTCTGCGTGCCCCATAAGAATTTGCAGATATTTTTTGCTATTTCTGAGCAGAATTTTGGTAAAAATCTGCAGATTTATGCAGAATGCTTTTGAGAGTATTATAACTAAAACCTTAATATATGAAATAAAAAGTAATACCATATTAACTTGTATTTAATGTTTACAATGCAAATCCAATTAGATCCACTTGATTTGGTAAACAAAGCAAGTCTCCCATATAATATATCTACTAAAAGACAGAAAATGTTACTCTACAAACTGTATTGTACATAAATCATATAAATATGTTCATATTAGTTAATAATATTACTGAAATTAATTTGAAAGCCGAATAAATATTAATTTACACACATTTACACAAGTAAATAAACAGAATCAATGATGGACTAAAATCTGCGAAATTCTGTGCGGGCAGATTCCGTGTGGGTCTACTTATTAGTTATATCCACCACTGCTTATTTTGAAAATGGTAATCAACATTTTAGCTAAATGCAGATCATTTCATGCCATTGGTAACTGAAAATGCTGTAAAATCATTACCAATACCGGGCCTTTGTTCTCAATAGTAGACTATATTCTAGCACCTCTCTTGCTAGTGTGATCTCTTGTAGAAACTGGGAGGAATGTTCTCTTGATCTGTGTAATCTATCCTGCTGTCTCAACGCATTCCACACTCCCCCCTCAGATATAAAACACTCCGTGGCATCCAAAGAAAATGCACAAAGTTATGTTGCAAGTCTCTTCAGATTTCACATGCTGCTTGATAAAATAGGAGCCTCATCAGGTAATATTACATTTACATTTAGTCATTTAGCAGACGCTTTTATCCAAAGCGACTTACAAATGAGGACAAGGAAGCAATTTACACAACTAAGAGCAACAATGAATAAGTGCTATAGGCAAGTTTCAGGTCTGTAAAGTCTAAGATGGGAAGTATTAGTAGTATTAGTATTTTTTATTTTTTTTGTACAGTTAGTGTGATATTCAAAGAGGCAATTGCAGATTAGGAAGTGAAGTGGAGACTTCATATATGAAATAAATGAAATATTAATATATAAATGAAATATTAATATATAAAACAAATGATCAAGTTAAGAAAAACAAAAGACAGAAAAGACAAAGTGCAAATCTGCTTCTTAGCATAGTTATTAAGTTCCCCCTGTCCACTAAAATACACAGGGAGTTTTGTTCTTCAGTGAGAACCTGATACTTCACTCCCACAATCTCAGATACTTCACTGCTTCCTGGCTTCTTATCAGCTTCTCACTGAGTTTCCTTTATTTCCTGATCCTTGTGGGTCATTATTTTATTCACATATTCTTAGGAATTAATCAGAACTTGTTGAATAATTAATTGATTTTTTATTTATGCTTTATTATGAGTTTATTATTAGATTGTTTGTAAATTATGCAGACGGTAAATCAGTTAACACTGAAGCTGTTATCGGGCCAACACTGATTAACACCATTAACTGTCATTCCTCATTTCCAGCATATGATAAATGCCTGTAATTCATGAATGGTTTGGAATACAAGGTTGGTCTTTTTATATATATATGAACAGGACGCTGAGCAGAGCATTGATATAGCATTTGTGTTTTAAAAAATTGGACAAGTTAAAGAAAGTTTATATTTTTCATTCATTCATTTTCTTGTTGGCTTAGTCCCTTAATAAATCCGGGTCGCCACAGCAGAATAAACCAACTTGTCCAGCACGTTTTAGCGCAGCGGATGCCCTTTCAGCCGCAACCCATCTCTGGGAAACATCACCATCCAGACTCACACACACACACACACTATGGACAATTTAGCCAACCCAATTCACCTGTACCGCATGTCTTTGGACTGTGGGGGAAACCGGAGTATCCAGAGGAAACCCACGCGAATGCAGGGAGAACATGCTAACTCCACACAGAAATGTCAACTGAGCCGAGGTTTGAACCAGCAACCTTCTGAGGCGACAGCACTACCTACTGGGCCACTGCGCCTAAGTGTTAATTTGTAATAAGTAAGCATTTTGTTCTTGGTGTCAGCAAACAAAACTAGTTTAGGCAATGGTGCATTTAGGGATTTGAAAGTGGTGAGCAATTCCAGCCTTTTTCATTGTATTTCTATTTGTTAATTTATTATTTTACTTTCTTTTTCTTTAATCATTCAGTCTTCTTTTCCACATTTTTTATCTTAAAGTGATCTCTACGTTGTAAATAATTAGTTTTTATCTGAAATTACGTTGATTTACAACAAAAAATAATGAATGCAATGAACTTAATTTTTAATAATCTGATTTGGTTGCTGAAATGCTTCATGATTTGGGGTGGGAGACACATTTACACGGATGTAATAATTATGTTTTTGTTCGAAACTTCTATTTGGGTTTCACGATGGCTCAGTGGTTGGCACTGTTGCCTCACAGCAAGAAGGTCGCTGGTTCAACTCTCGGCTGGGCCAGTTGGCGTTTCTGTATGGAGTTTGCATGTTGGCTTTGGTTTCTTCCAGGTGCTCCCGTTTTCCTCACAGTCCAAAGGCAGTATAGGTGGACTGCGATGTAGGTGAATTGAATAAACTAAATTGGCAATTGTTTATGGGTGTTTGTGTGAATGTGAGAATGGATGGGTGTTTCCCAGTAGGTTGCAGCTGGAAGGGCATCTGGCTGTGTAAGACATGCTGGATAAGTTGGCGATTCAATGACCAAATGTAAACCATATCGTTTGAGTTTGCCCATATTTTACCAAATTTGGAATTAAATAAACCAGCATTTTTAGTGTAAGTTATTCGTTGTGTAGTAGTGTAGTAATTAGTGAACTATCCTCTTCATGACAAATCATAAGCTTTGCTGAATTTCTGGTGATTTCCAGTGTGACGGTGGGTCATGTGAATGTAAAACTGGAAGTGAAATACCGTGAAATAAGAAGGAGCTACGGAGTTTTAGTTTAGTCAGTTGCTGCTCCCCTAAGAGTACGGGACATTCCAGTAATCTTCATTACAGCTCGTCTACACAAGGGAAGGGGCAGTTCCGCTGATTAAACCGCTGCTCACTCTCACTTTTATTCTCTCAGTGGTCGAAGTGTAACCAGATCTACAACAGTGACAGGACAATACTAAAGCCCAGGACTCGAGCTGAACCTAGTTTGAAAATGCAGAAAGGGTCGTTCTTTCTCGGCAAATCTTCACGGATGTCCCATATAGGACTACTCGGAATTTGTTTTCTCTCACTAGTTGCAGGTAACGTTAAGCGCTTTCTAATTGTTTACATTTGCTAGAGAATAACTGCGCCACTTTGTTTTGCATGTTACCGGTTTAACCCGAACAACTGTGGATGAATTTGGAATACAGAAATAACGCTAGTAATCCATAATGGCACTTCATTTGATAGCTTTCACGTCTAACAAAGAGAAAGAGTCTATGTAAGTACCGGACCGAAAGAGAAACTTGGCTGAAAGTCCCGTTAGCCGGTGATGGAGAGAATAGGCGATACATTTACTATCGTGGCTCAGATTTTATATATAGATTAAGTTTATTTACCTGTCTAATTGTGTATTTTAAGCCATGTTGCCATGGTTACACCATCAGGCGAACATGTACACGTCAAGTGAAAATACGATTATTGAAGTTTAAAGCTGGTGGTTTTAGACGCAAAGTTGTGTAGGCTAGGCTGATTTTAACTTTACAGAAGCTGAAAACAAGGTATGTAACGTCGTGTTTTCTCTCCCTCTCTTGTGTTTGGCACCGAACGACTCTGCTCAGTAAATGTTGAAGTCTAAATATTGTCTTCAAATTCCAGAAGGGGGCGCGATACCATTTCATTATAAAAAGTTTCCTTTAGATCCCTTTCGCTTTTTTTATTGCAATTTAGAACACAGATACAAGGGCAATAACATAACATTAAATTGATATCAAAATAAATACGATAAGAAATATAAAAAAATACAATTATTCAAATAGTAGATTTAAGGCTTTAAGATAATTAATATTTTATTGTACACAGGTAAATTACCTTCTATTTTAAAGTGAGTGAAAGTGTTTTCACTGCCCATTTACATTTATGAATAAAAAATGTTCCATATAATGAGCAAATTAGCAATATACCAGGTTTTTAAATCAACAGCATTCTCATAAAAAAAAACTTATCTTTGAATTGCAATTCAATATTCATTCTCTGCTTAACTAAAAAGAAAAAAGCACACCAAAATAATTGTGTATAAATACAATCATAAAATAAATGAGCAATACTCTCTTCTTTAGCATTACAGAAAGCACATTCATCAGAACGATGAACAGTTTTAAATGATATCTACTTTTATTTGTTATACAAAAACTTCTGGAGATCTTAAGTCTCATTCCAGTTGACATCTTGAAATGAGATCTCCAAACGATGGCTGAAGGAACACTGACCAATAAATCCTTCTAATATAATTATTATTACATTTTTTATATATTTATAACTTATATCAGAGGAGCTGAAAGAAGTGTCTGGGGAGAGGGAAGTCTGGGCTTCTCTCCTAAGATTGCTGCCCCTATGACCCGGCCCCGGATAAGCGAATGAAAATGATAATGATGATGATGATGATGCAATTGTGATTTTCGAAAATATAACTCGCATAATAAACATTTATTATTACCATTTGTGAGTCTCCCCAGATAGGGATCAGTGTTTTATACAGTAGTCGTTTGTCAATAGAAGTTAATATATGTCCATTAAAATTAGGTTCCTAAAGCGTGTAAACTGTGACAAAAGCTAAATATATTCGTTTTTTTGACACACACACACACACACATATATATATATATGTGTGTGTGTGTGTGTGTGTGTGTATATATATATATATATATATATATATATATATATATATATATATATATATATACATACTTTTTTTTTTAATGTTGGCTCCTAAAATCTTACCTTATACCATGGAGGAAAATATTAATGCATATGAAGTGTGTAAGTTTTTATTATTGATTACGTGATATTTTAAAAATCAGCAAAACTCCAAAATTGCCTTTTTTAGAGATTATTCCTGACATCGATGGATGATATATATTGCGTTATCAAAAATTATTGACGTTGTGTTCATGTACTATGCAATAAGTTGATACATTTATTATTGTGACAGCGTTAATAACATCATGTGGTTATTTGACCAATTCTGACACAAGATCTCAGCTATAATCTGTAACTGATATGCTAAAAAACCAGAAAAGTCAAATTTATAGACAAACTTTATGGTGTTTGAGAATGCCTCGTCTGAAAGTTTAAAGTAGTTTTAAAGTTTAAATAATTAAAGTAGATTTGAAGAAGTTTAAAACAGTCATAACTACAAATAGGTAAGCAGGTTTCTAGTTAGACAGTTGATAGGGGTTCTTAGTGGTTGCAAAGGTGTTGCTAAGTGGTTGCTAGGATGTTCTGAATGGTTGCTAGGGTGTTCTGAGTGGTTGCTTAGGTGTTGCTAGGTGGTTGCTAAGATGTTGCTAGGGTGTTCTGAGTGGTTACTAGGTGGTTGTTAAGGCATTGCTAGGCTGTTGCTTGGTTGTTGCTGCGTGGTTGCTAGGCAGTTGCTTAGTTGTTCTGAATGGTTGCTAAGGCATTGTTTGTTGGTTGCTAGGGTGGTCTGAGTGGTTGCTCGGCAGTTGTCAAAGCATTGCTAGGGTGTCCTGAGTGGTTGCAATGTAGTTGCTAAGTCATTGCTTGGATGTTTTAAGTGGTTGCTAAGGCGTTGCTAGGTGGTTGCTAGGGTTCTCCAGGTGGTTGCTAAGGTGTTGCTAAGCAGTTTGTAGAGTATTCCGAGTGGTTGCCAGGGCATTGCTAGGTGGTTGCTAGGGTGTTCAGAGTGGTTCTTAGGTGATTGCTAGGGCATTGCTACGTAAATGAATGAATAATGCATATTTTGGAAAGATATGTGCCTGAAAAGTCACAGTATTTTGTGTGAATGGTTTCTTTGTTAATCTTTGTGTTTGTGAGGATTAACAATGATGAATCTTCTGTGCTGTGTGTTGTCAGAGAGCAAATGCAATTACATTATAGTATTAAACGTGATATAATAAACATTTGAGGTCAGAATGTAATAACAAAATATGTAAGATGCTGGAACTTATTGATTATGTTTTTCATCTTATTATTCACAAAATCCTCAAACTATTTAGCTATTTATTGATCATTGATCATCCATTAAGATCAGGTGGATTAAATATTACATTTAGAGTAAGTTTTCTGTCCAGTGCACTAAAAAGGAAACTGAAACTGGAAAGGCATTAGCCGCATTTCCACTATCAGGCCAGTGCGAGCCAGGGCTTATATCGGACCAGGCCGGGCCAATCGCCCGGGAGGTTGAGCAATGAGGCCGCAATCATGTCGCGTTTCTACTGTGGGGCTAGTGGCTCGCAGCGCGTCACGCAAACCCCGCCCCCAGAACATCCCCCGAATCGAACGTCACTCAAACCGCCCACTTCAGCGAGAATCATACAGATAAAGCACACCATCACATCATCACGAAACTATTAAAATTAGGACAACCAAAACAAACAAATGACACGTTACTGTACAGCAGTACAACGCATGTCTATACGCACATGCCTGTGTGTTTTCATTCATCATATTCATTTACTCGCCGACCGACTGGCATCGAAATCCAGTGGTCTTGCCACCAACGGAGGGACCCGGAGCGCAGGGAGCGCACACATCCATAATATAACATATAAATTGTGTGCTGTTGTTTGCAGAATGGTCTGTGATTTTCTTGATTGTTCAGCTGCACAGCAGTATAAGTGATGCTGTTAAAATACTGAAAACACAACCTGCTTTTCATTGTGTTTAACAGGTGCACTAGAATGTCCTCTTCAAATCAGCCCACAGAGTGTTGTCGTGAGGTACGGTGATTCTGTATCAGTAAACTGCAGCACTTCAGTCACACATGATGGGATGGGATGGGAATCCACTAAGGGAGGAGTGCCCCTGTCCAAAGCCAGTCTGATCACATGGAGAGTGTCACAGCTGACAGACTGGGAGATAGAGCCACCATTCTGCTACATAAACTATGGCCAACAACAACAATGTGAAGTAGCTCTCCCAGTCACTATTTACAGTAAGTTTTTCTCTTATTATTATCTGTTCATTCTCTGAAATATATCTAATACATGTAGGCTGATGACTGCAGGTTTTAGAGTGTGTGAATCTTCCTCCACAGAGACTCCAGACAGTGTTTCCATCAGCACTGCGAATCAAGCAATGACAGAGGGAAACCAGTATGAGCTCCAGTGTGACATTCATAATGTGGCTCCTGCTCAGAATCTCACTGTCAACTGGTACAAAGGAGAAACTCTGGTGAATCAAACCAACTTTACTGACAACACCAAGAGTCCAGTCAATAAAATAATTAGACTCCCGATCCATCCAGACAGAGCTGATGATGGAGCTCAGTACAGATGTGAAGCAGAGCTGAACCTGGGAGAAGAAGGACCTCAACCTCATCCTAAAAACACATCTGAACCTCTCAGCATTACTGTACATTGTGAGTTCTGTCACCTTCTGTGATTTATTGTTAAGACCAAATGCAAGCAGACTTTAAGTAACTGTAGCACTTACAGAAATCAGATACAGAATGTAACTTTTCTAGAATAATTCAAGATGAAGTTGATAATAAAAATTGAAAACTTAAAATGTCTATTTTTTCCTCTTTCCTGTAGTTAAACCAACCATCCACAAACTGCCCTCCACAGTGTCTGTGGTACGAGGCTATTCAAAGGTGGTAGTTTGTAAATCGGAAGGACATCCAAAACCAACAATCAGCTGGAGTGACGGCACAAACACAGTTAATGGTGAAAACTTTACTATAACAGAGTCCACAGCTGAGAATCTGACCTGCACTGCAACCAATGCCGTCGGCAGCTCCAGCAGATCAGTGACAGTGGTCATTCAAGGTAACTATGCATTTGTTTTATACTTGACCTTCAGCTTGCTTTCATGAGTAGTTTCCCGCAGTAATTTCAGTCTGCTTTGGCATTAGTGACAGTCAGGGCTTACTTTGTGTAGGAACACGCCATATCCGAATCCGGCACCTCTGAAATCTGATCCGGCACCTCATTTTACCCAGCCCTCTTCCTTAACGGCTTTTCTCCCCCGTCCTCTGGTCACTTTTACTTTCTACTAGTGATGGGAAGTTCGAATCATTTTACTGACTCGGATCTTTGAGTCTCGTTCATCAAGATGAACAAATCTTTTTTCGAGTCATTTCGTTCATTTGGTTCAATTTGCCAAAATATTATTCAAATTAGAGCTGTGAACCTACACTAGTCTTACGGTTCGGTTCGGTTACGTTTATCATGCCATCGATTCGGTTCAATTCGATATTTCGGTGCATCACGGTGCATTGACGGTGCTTTCCGTACACAGTTTTATATTTTCTTCACAGCAGCATTTCTTGTATTAAAATGTATGAATATATTTATATTTATATATTATTTGTAATACAATTTTGTCATTTAATACAAACAGTCAGATATATAAACTGTAACTTAAAACAAAACAAGCATTTAGCAAATAATACAATGAATAAATAAAATAATAAATATCCAGCTCAATTTCTGATCCTTGTCTAGTTCTCTTACACCTCTTTGATTGGTCACACCCTCAAAAAAAACGGTTGCGATTGGCTCTTGCACGCTGCGTTCTTTACAGATGAGTGATACTGATAAGCGGCAGGCGGCAGCGGCGATCTCACAGCTGATGTATGATAGACACGGTGGAGAAAACTCTGCAGACACACGCTCGTTTCTGTATGCAAAAGTAAAGCTGTAAAACAGCCGAGAAGAGAAGAAAAGCCACGCCAGCAGGTCAAATGGGCCACTTTGTTCAATTCAATTCAATTCAGCTTTATTTGTATAGCGCTTTTACAATGTAGATTGTGTCAAAGCAGCTTCACATAAATGGTCATAGTAACTGGAACAGTGTGGTTCAGTAACTGGAACAGTGTGGTTCAGGTTTTAGTGTTTAAGTTCAGTTCAGTTTAGCTCAGTTCAGTGTGATTTAATCATTACTGAGAGTTCAAACACTGAAGAGCAAATTCATCGATGCGTAGCTCTACCAATCCTGAACCATGCGAGGCAGTGGCGACAGCGGAAAGGGAAAAAAAACTTCACCTGATGGGAGTGAAGAAAAAAAACCTTGAGGGAACCAGACTCAGTTGGGCACGACCATTTTAATTTCTCCGCTGGCCAAAAGTCTTGTGCAGAACTTCATTCGCCGTGGTTTATGCTGGAAGATGGCCTCAATGAAGACTCGTCTGTTCCTGGAGCGTCGCTGGAATCAGACACATGTTCTCCACTCCCCACGACCATCAGCGCATGAGAAAGAGAGAGAGAGAGACAGAGCGAGAGCAAGAGAGAGGAGAGAGAAATGGAGTAGGCTACTTTCATTCTCTCGATCTCAGTAATATAGGGGCTATTGTTATATATGTCAGTGAAAGACTGATCCAGCAAACACACACAGTGAAATTGTTCACAGTTTATGAGTTTTAAGTAGTTAAAGCGCTGTAAATACTCGCGATTGCCTCCCTCGCGACAGAGCGCATATGAGGTAAATGATGTCAGTAATAACCGGTTATGATTATTACTGAACCGATACCGAATTGTCCGTGTCTGTAGCGCAGTGCACCGAAGAAATGATTAATTTTGACACCCCTAATTAAAATGTTACGAATTGCTTCCAAACACATCTACAACTAACCCAAAAGGTTGATCGCACGACAAATATGTCATAACTAGAATACTATAAGAAGGAGAAAATAATAATTGAATGTTTACCTGCTCTTTTGTCTATGAAGGTAGTGTTGTCTCTTTGCTCAGCTCACCTCTTCATATCTTTAAATGTCAGGGGTTCATTCACGTTACCCTGACAGTCACATATAATCTTAATCAATGCACACAGTCTAATCTGATAGGAGCCATGATTGTTCGTTGTTTACGTGACAGAATGACTCAAACCCGATGAGCGGTTCAATTCTTTTTCCGGCTCTAAACGTGTATGATTGGCTCGTGATGAACAAGTGACTCAGACCCGATAGAGGACTCGAGAGATGAGCGGATCAATTCTTTTTCCGGCTCTAAACGCATATGATTGGCTTCTGCCAATGTGATGAAGACTTGAAATTAACGATTCCTGCACAAATGTGCGCACGTGCGGATGAACGAATCACTCCCTGAGAGGACTTGTAGTTCCCGAGTCGTATTGAAGATTCGTTCAAAATGAACGACCCATCACTACTTTCTACTGCAACTCCCGAACCCTCTACACTTTCGTCTGCAACAAGCCCCCCACCCCCCCCACCCCCGCTCTTCACTTTCACTTTTGTGCGCGACACCCCTCCGCCATCGAACGCCCCTCCACTTCCACTCAATGCTTTTCACTTTCCACTGCGACTTCTCTTTTGGTTTGTGCTTCTGCACATGGTCTGTGGGCCGTGTAACGTCTGCTTGTAGTCTAATCATTGGAGGATGTGTTATAAGGATACATTTTAAGTGTTCTGGCTTGTGGATTGTGTCAGCGTTGGTGTCTTGCTTGGATTTCTCTAGTCTATGTTATTCAGACTGGCTGCTTTACATTTGGTTGCTATATTGGCTTGGATTTCTTTCCCGAATCAGCTGATTTACTTGTGTGTTTGTTTCTTTTGACACAGAGAATATAACGCCTATAATAATCGGCATTGTTTGTGGCATATTGCTGGTCATCTCAGTCATCTTCATCTACATCTACATCACCTGCTACAAAAAAAACAAGATGGGCCATTATAATTTCAAGAAGCCCAAAGCATCTAAAGGACTCTTAGCGCAGCCAGCACAGACCCCATGAAGGAACTCTGTCAGAGCAATGTGATTATGATTCGCTGAGTTTGATTCATCTGCTGAACCTCACAGTCAGATCAGTCAGAATGAAATGTGAAGTGTTGTTGTGTGGACCAGTCTCAAATGTATTAGCAGCAGTGTTACACTTTTTCAGCATTTCTGCATAGATTACTACACTGTAAAACCCAACAGTCAACTTTATAAAAGGAAATGAGTGTCCTTAACTCAAAATGTACTGAAAGTTAATTCTACTCATTTGAAAAGTGTTTTGAACTCAGTGTTGAAGATAATGAGTTTATTAAACACCTCATTACTCCAACTTAAATGAAGTAAGTTCACAGTACTCACATACTTAGTTTTAAGTCATAGATTAGTTTTTAAGTCAAATGGTTTGTTGCAATTGGTTTCCTCAAACAGTTTGAGTTGCCTTAACTTTTTTACAGTACTCAGTTGGTTTGAGGTCTCTTCATTTATTGCTCAAATTTCTTAGTTTACTCAAATGGATTAAGTTCAAAGTACTCATCAGGATTAGTTTGTAAACTTAAATGGTTTGTTGCAATCGGTTTCCTCAAACGATTTGAGTTACCTTAACTTATTGGGTTTTACCGTGTATAAAGAAACTATATTTATATGTCTCGGACACATTCATCATCTGTACTGAACATTTATTATAATCGTCTGAGATAAACACTGAAGTTATTATGGGACATGGCACTAGATGCTGTACATTTCTGACCTATTTAAAACCAGGTGCTTAAAACTAACAAGAGAATGTTTAAATATATATATATATATAATGTGTTAAACTTTGAGTTTACAACTAGTTAGTGTATAACTGTGTTTAGTAAACCACTAGTTTAGTAGTAGTAATTAATAAATAAATAAATATGTTTTCCAGTAGTTAAACCTTCCAAAAATGTTTTACAAATAATTCCGTTATGCAGGGCCGACATAAGAATGACACTAAAATTCACATCCCAGAAAATGACAACACTCAGAATGACCCAAAAGGGTCAAGTTTACCGAAAATTAGTATCCATCATAACACTGAGTATGGGCGACACAGTGGCTCAGTGGTTAGCCTCACAGCAAGAAGGTCACTGGTTCGAGTCCCGGCTAGGCCAGTTGGCCTTACTGTGTTGAGTTTGTATGTTCTCCCCTTGTTCGTGTGGGTTTCCTACGGGTGCTTCGGATTCCCGCACAGTCCAAAGAGATGTGCTAGAGGTGAATTGAATAAACAAAATTGGCCATAGTGTATGTGTGTGAATGAGTGTATATAAATGTTTCCTAGTACTGGGTTGCAGCTGGAAGGGCATCCACTGTGTAAAGCATATGCTGGATAAGTTGGCGGTTCATTCCTCTGTGGTCCACCCCTTATAAACAAAAGGACTAAGCTCAAAAGAAAAGGAATGAATGAGTAAATTGGCCTTGGTGCGTGCAAATAAGTGTGTTAGGATGTTTCACAGAACTGGGTTGCAGCTGGAAGGACATTCGCTCTTTTCATTGCTGGATAAGTTGGCAGTTCATTCCGCTGTGGCGACCCCTGATGAATAATGGGACTAAGCCGAAGGAAAATAAGTGAATGAACATTGAGTACAAGTTGAGGGCAATAATATTAGTTTAATTTTTCTGTAAGTATAAGTCACCTGTACTTAAGTATGACTTAAGTATAATTCTGGGAGGTACATCAAATATATTCCTGAGTATAAACAAAATTTACAGTAAAATAAATTTTTAAAGAGGTAAACATTTTTTTTAGAGATGCCATGATATAATAATAATAATTATTAGTATTATTAATTCTACACAGAACTTTTCAGGGAACAATTAACAAGCCAAACCAATTATTTCTTAGTGTGAAGAACATTTTAATGATCTATAGAGCCTCATTCACTTCATAACCTTTTGTGGAATGAAAAGATTTTATGGATTTTCAAAGTTCTTTATGGGACCATCAGTGCCAAAGTGACTTTATTTATAACAATGTATAAATCACACAGTTGAATAAACTTTTTTATATATTTTTTTACTTGTGATCATTTGATGTAAATATCTCTAATTAAATCTAAATCCTCTGTATA